TGCATAACATGTTTTTTCTTCAGTCTATTTTCAGATCTATACTTCCTGGTCAGCTCTTCACTCGGGCACTAGTCGGGCTCTCATTCGGCCCCGACTAGTGAAAGTGGGTTTTCCCGGGGTACTCCCGTTTCCCCCCACATCTAATTCTCAGGCATTGGATCCATAGATCCCAGCCTTGGCACCTTGATCCACTGATCCCCGCCAGGCCCTGTAAAGGCCCGTTTGCTTCATTTTGTTTCGGCTGCTGACTTGCTCCTTCTTCAAAGATCAACTGGCCTCTGCTACGCCTTGGACTTGCCTTCACTACTGCCTACTTGCCTCACCTTGATACGTATATACACGGGAATAAATATATGATTTTTAAAATTAATTAATTAACTAATTATTCTATTAATTAATTTATTAATTATTACTATTATCCCTTCGCCCATAAGGATCATTACTCCGCTGACCATTAATTGAAATGTAACCTTATGCCACGAGCAGGGTGAAGGAGGATTGTTTAATCTTCGAGCACCCTTGATTGGTAATTATTTCTTGGGAGATAATTATTTTTAAATCAAAATAACTGCCAGGAAAAACGAACGAAAAACGAAACCTAGATACAATGGCAGTATTTACAGAAGCGTATCTTTCCAACTGATGATCAAACAATGATCTTTAGAGATAGTTATTTTTAAACGTGTTTCTATACTTTGTTTATCTAACGATATGTTTCAGATAGTCAAGCGTAGTGAGTGAAACGTCGTCAAAAGATGAAAAACAGCCAAGATTAAGCCCGATATTTCAAACCTACAAAAGGAGATCTATATATTTATATACCTATCTGTGAGAGGTTTTATGTATTCATCAGTATATCTAAATGTAAATATTTTTATTTTATTTTACAGTTTCTTCATAATTAATTTACTTGACAATGATTTGAATTATTCATTCATAAGGTACTTGGTAATATAAAATATGATATGAATGTTTTAGTAAATGTACTTTAAAGAATTTCCTTAAAAATTTGTTTAGTAACTTTGATCTTATTTTGGTATTATTTTTAATTTCCGTCTGAAATGTGTTTTTTGTTTATTTGTTGTTGTTTTTTTTTACATTTATATCCTAAACTGTTACTCCCCAGGCTTTACTATAAGAACATTTTACTTAGTTTGGAAATGGTATTGTTAGTTCATTAACGGAACGTTCATTAATTGTTTGTTTTAATTGTCGATATTTCGCGAAGAGTTTTAAAGTAAATATGTAAGTCATTTGAGGTGTCCTTGAAAAATATTACTTGATATTTATTTCTTGATCTATTGTAACTACGATGTTAAGGTTTAATGTTGTTGTTTTTTTTAATACATTCATAACAGTATTCGATGCGTTTTTGATTATCATAAAATGCATTAAGTTGTTTGGAAACATTAGTATATATTTAAAACCTCTGTGATTTTGAAAATTGATATTCTAGTAATTTAGGCTTTGTGTGTCTTGATGTTTAGCGTGCCCATACTTGTGATTCCGAGAATTAATTGTTCGCATCCTGTTGCCGCATTTACGCGCTCTAGACTTTGGATGTGAAGGTCCATCATACAAATGACTTTCACAATTATGTAAGATTAGGATAGCCCAAGAGTTAGCGGTGTGTGCTGTTGAATAGCTTCCTTCCCTCTGGTATATCAGACCAGAGTTAGAAATGACTATGTGCAAACAACCTTTGAGTAACTGCGGGAAAATTCTAAAATAAACAAACTATTTAAACTTTTTCTGGACTTTTTTTATTCATTAAAACATTACCTTATTAAACAACCACAGAAATATGCTGTTCTTCAAACATCATTTGTACGAATAGAAGTATCGAGAAAATTCTTTATTTCTGGTATTAAGATTGATGTTGATTACATTGGACAGGTCATTTAACTCATATGAGCATAAACTGGTTTTCAGATTGAATTTATCAATACTCAGTTACATTTTCCTTAACTAAATATGAGTGAGTGATAAATTTGAACTTCCTTCGACAGTTTATGTGTATAAATTCCATGTTAAACATACTGTTCTCAACAGGAGCGTCATACAGCTAAATTTGTTTTGTTTGTTTGTTGTTGTTGTTTTTTCACGGTCAGAAAACGAACGACTTTTGTTATCAATGGTGGGTTAATAATGATAGTAATAATCATGCAAATGATAATTTAGTTGGGTGCCTTTTACGTTTCACGTAATTAAACTACTGCTATTACTTTGATTGGTTTTCAATACAGAAAAACTATTTTGAACACATTTAATCAGCTGTTTATACACGGATTTTGGATCATTAAAATAGTATGTGGAAAGCATTTGGTTG